ATTTCTGAGCCTTTCTCGGTATATTGAAAAATATAAGCTGAGTTTTCGATATCTGAATGCTACATACTAAATTATTCACTTCAGTGTCGGTGAAAGTCGCGGTGAGGTAAATATCCACCACAGTACACCTCCACATCGGTGGATAATTGTTAAATATGATCCGCTGGGCGCAATCAGAGGTCGACTCAGATTCGACCTGTCGAAAGGGTAAGCTTTCTCGTAACTAGTTCTATTGTGCAGTATCTGATAAACCAAGATGCATTATTCAGCTGAAAACTGGTTTCTTAAGCAGTAAGTTTCACATCAGATGATATTAAGTTCATGAAGAAAACAGTGGGCTGTAACGATTTTAATTCATCGATTTTGCGTCTAAAGTTTCGTCTTCAAGTAGTTCCTGTAATTTTTTTTGTCTCGGTTGCTAATGGGCGATAAACAAAATCAGGATTAGTTTCCAGTCGTGTCATCTATCATTATTTAACCATAGCAAAATATGAAATTTGATATCGCAGAATCTGAAATGTGCTATTTTCTTGAGATGGCCATAATACCGACATGAAAATTCCAATCTGGATCTCGTAAGGAGCCAATTGTTCGTAAAAACTACAAGGGCAGGAGGGGAAAGTGGTATATAGTTGTCAAGTTTGAGGTAGCTTTATTTTAGAGGCCAGAGTTATGGTTCGCTCACTATAAATTGTCCACTTGAAAGGCTTACTTTACGGTTAGTGGTTCCAGATATCTGCTCAATGATAGCAGTTAATATGAAAGCAACCTTCGCAGTATTAAACACTGTTTGAACAGTAGTGAAAGTAAGGCCTGTACGTGATTAGAACTCATGACCTCTCCGACACCGATGCAGTGCTTTACCAATTCAGCTAACAATTGGGAACTAGTCATCATGTTGGTTCCAAATAAACCCGTGAAGTGATGAATAATTGACGTGAATATATGATAATCACATACGTGATCTGAGGATAGAGACGTGACTTCGCAGTAGAGGAAAAAATTCAGGCCTGTACGGGATTTGAACCCATGACCTTTGCGATACCGGTGCAGTTCCCTACCAACTGAGCTGGTCATTATGTTGATTCCAAATAGTTTATTTGCAACCAAGTTTAGTTTGTAAAACGTTTTGCGGGAGAAACGCACGAAGACACAACCTACTTATTTTCAAATGGGCATTTTGTACAAATAAAAGAGACGACTTACGAGTATTTCGAACATAGAGGAGTTTCAAAATTACAAAGGTGGATCGATATTATGTTCCAGTTACACAATAACACCAGGTATTCCCCAGTACAAGTGGAGGCAACAAGGTTACATGACACATTGGGCCATATCGTACGAACGAAACTCTTTGAAAGAATATTATTGGTGATGTTTCCCTTCGCTCTGCGTCATGACAATCTTCACTGAACATTTATTTCATGAGCATCAAAAAATCGGACCAAACAATTCTATAAAGGTCAAAATTCTACGCTGTTAATGGCTTTGATGGTAGACTCTGGAAGCGTTTTGTTTTTCGCGCTACATAAAACATTTTAGGGATGATAAGTACACAAACATCCATTCAAGACAAAACATTTGCTCATTAATTTATTCTTAGACATTACTTAAGAATCACAGTCTTTCTTAGGCTTTGCTTTTGATAAAAAACTGTTCGCTCCTTCTGGAGCCAAATAGGGACTATTACTTCTTCATTATTGAACAAGAATGTAGCCCATAGTTTTGATGTTTTTATCCCCATTATCGGCTCCCCATCGGTGCACTGCCACATTTCCACACGAGTTCGAGTAGTCAGGATGACCTCCAGTACCAAAACCGATCCTGGAATCACAGCTGTTGCAGTGATACTGTTCGTTAGCAAGGATACCGATTCGAGCCCTGGGTTGTATGGCGCCAGAACCTGCACACATTGCGTTAAATCCTTCCCAGTTGCAGTTTGATTGTAGTGACGCATTTGAAGGAAGCAGTGACTTCCATTTGTCTCTGC